TTACAGAGATGCCAACTTGCTCCGGACAGCAAATATATATTTTAAAGTGGTAGTTTATCAATTGTGATTCTTGGTTTAACAAATTCAATTTAGTAGATTTTTATCCACTGCTATTTCTAAGTAATTCGTAGTCTTATATAATTCCCCACTGTATGGTACTTATGTCATGCTATAACTTTTAAAAAGTAAGCAAAAATAATCAAATATTTGCAAAATATACTTTGTAGTTATTTACCGTTTTTTTAAATTATTTTGGCGTGTCCGGAGCAGTTGGCATCTCTGATGATAAAGATAAAAATTACAATGCAATACTTTTAAATTGAAACTGATTTTTTGAAACTATATTGTCTGATTATTAAAAGTTAGCTCATTCAAACTTAAATGAACAATATTTGAACATATTAAAAAAAAAATGTGGAATATATGTACCCATAAAGATGTACAATGAGTTTTTCTTTGGAAACTGATTAACATTATCCAGAAAAGCAGATAAAATATGCATGCAATTCAGATAAAATATGCATGCAATTCAGATATACACAATTAAATTAGACTGTTTCTTAAAATACAGTTCATCATTTTAAATAATGCAAGTTTTCAAATGATTGAAATAAAGATTAATATTAAGTGTTTTTTTTAGATAAATGCAGATATTTTAAATTTTTTTTATGTAAAACTAAAATTTTTATTGTTATTACAAACTTTGATTTTTATTAGTTTCTATTTGAAATAACTTATTTATCAATTAATAAAGTTTGAAAAAACTTCATCTCTTGACAGTTAAAAAATAAAAAAACACAAACACAATTTCAAATACACATATTTGAGTATCTCAACTACAATGAAGTTACATGAAACTAATGGAATAAAATGCAGTATGATACAGAAATGAGAAAAAAAATTATCAAGTCCAGCTGTTTTATATCACAATTTTTCACCCGAAAGGTCTGTGATGTTGTAGTAGGAGTGATCTGGAAATCTCTCCAGTTCAATGTAAACATGTTCACTAACTAGAAGTCTGTCTAGCAAAGAGACAAGCTCTCCAAATGTGGGTCTCTGCTTCGGATCTTTATCCCAACAGTAAAACATGATGTTGTACATTTCTCGTCTGCAATGCTCTGGCTTTTCTAATCTGTAGCCATCTCTGATTCGACGAATCACTTCGTTTGCACTTAATCCTGGGTATGGTGTAGAGCCTAGAATTAAAGTTTCGAAAACGTTTTATATTTGATTATTTTAATGCAGGAAGTTGGATAATGGTATTAATAGAAATTAAAATTTACCTAAGGTGACAATTTCCCAGAGTAGGACACCGAAAGACCAAACATCTGTCTTTGTTGTATAGATATTGTCAAAAAGTGATTCTGGTGCCATCCATCGAATTGGTAATCTTCCCTAAAAATGCATTAATTAATAATAATTTATTCATAAATCAATAAACTTGATCCATTGATTGTTATGAGCACATACAAGTGTTCTGCGAAAGCCATATTGGTCTGCCAATCTGGTTAGCATTTTTTTCCCGGCTGTGGAACCCTAAATAGCAAACCTATTTTGGCGGAACCCCAACTCTTAATGGATAAATTTCGTTAGCAATTATGAACATTATAATGAAATACTATTAATTATTTTAAAAATATGTAAAAGTCAAAATTTTATTAATTACTTTGAAAATATTTAGTGAATGAATGAAGAAGTTACCAATTTTATACTTGAAATTGGGTTTTACTTATGACAGTTAAGTTCATATGTCGGGAATGATACCTAGTCTAGTTCTTAATTTGATTTTAGTTCATGCATTAACTGAAAAAGAGGAAAAAAAAATGGTTATCAGAGAAACATACTTCTTCACTGTTGAATTTGGTTATTTTTATTTAATGCGATATAATTCTAAAATTTTTCATAATTCATACATTTATTGTTATTAGAAGAAACATTGTTTTGAAATTTCTTCTTTCAAGCATTTCAATTAAATAATTTCATAAAAATATTGGAAATAATAAATAAAACATGTATTATTAATTAAATGCAAATTTAAAAAATCGGAACAAGTTAAAAAAATTTCTTAACTCTCGGAGTCTCTGTAATTCTTAAACGGAATGGAACACCATTTAGGTAAGTGCTGGTGTAATTTTTTAAGTATCAAAAATAGTTAACCTAGAGTTCTGGCAAAATATGTGCTATAGTTTTTGATTAGTCGTGATTGAAATTTTACGTAGGATTCTGCTGGCACTTTTTTTTGTGAAAATTCTTTTTTAAATTTTCTTTCAATATGTTAAAAGTAGATTATTAGTACAGCTATGGCTAATGTTATTTTGAAAGCATCATTCATTAATCACAAAGAAACTTAAGGATCAAATCTTAAAAATTAAACATTATCCTATACAATACACCCACAAATTTAGATAATTGAAGACCTTTAAGGATAAAAAGCGAAAATACACATTTGATAAAATTTTTTTTGTTCTTTATGTAATTATATCCAACAAAGGCTTCTATATTCTTCAAGTATTACGAGTTCTTTGTTGAGAAATGGTAACACGTGCAACATTGGTCAACTTTCATAAGCAACTCTATAGTAGCAAAATGAGTACATACAAAAATATCTGTGATTGCAAAATGAGAACATACAAAAATGTGTATTTTCACTTTTTATCACCAAGGTCTTCAATTGTTTTTCATAAGCTTCTTTTCCTTAAAATTACAGGTTCAGTGCGATTTATAAGTGCCAGTTTATTATGCACTGTTTAAATGTATGTCAGATAGAAACATTGTTAGAATACAATGCTTCCTTGTGTTAAAATTTCATTTTTAAATTAAAAAAAAAAAGAATTTACATGTATTTGATCAACAAGTGTAACTTACTTCTGATTTTCTCTCATATACATGACTTGCTATTATGTCCCTAGCAAATCCAAAATCGGCTACTTTGCACACTTTATTTTCATCAACCAAAATATTTCTTGCAGCTAAATCTCTGTGAATTATCTGAAAGATGCATTTGAAGGTTATATTTTGTTAATCAAATAGACAAATATATTTTAGAAGTAAACTCAGTTGTCGTGGCAACTTACTCCTTTGTTAGCCAGATAGTCCATTCCTTTGGCAACTTGGTAAGAAAAAGTTGTCAGGTCTCTGGAGGACAAGTTTTTACTGCTACCATGTAAGTTGCCGTAAAGTCTTTCTGCTCTGCTTTCTCTTAAATATGTCTGCAACTTACCCCGACTTACAAACTCCATGATCACAAGGATGGGATCTGTAATGGTTTAGATTTTTAGCATTAATTTTAGAAACAAACAGACAAAAAATTTTGTATTGTTTAAGGGGTGCGCAATCTTTCTCAGACGAGAGTTTTTGAGGATGGCAATACATTGGGTTTTTAGAACAATTGGTAATAAATAACTTGATTATTTCCCTGTGCAATAAGAACATTGTCGATTTGTTATAAAAATAAAAGACTAAGTAGAGAAAATAATGAATAATATTTACAAGCATAGTATTTATATTCAAGAATAACATTTTTCATACATAACATTTATGAATTGAAAAAGATTGAAATTTTGTAAAGGTACTTAGGAAAAGAAGCTTTGTATATTTAAATAAAAAAAAAACTTTTTTTTTCCTTTTTTATTTATAACTGTCAATTGTTCAGTATAACTGTAAATGTTTAATTTATAAAATACCTAAGAAAAATGGTTTTCTGAGCCATAATCTGAGCCAAGGCTATATATGAGGGCTCAATTCCTGTATTTTCTTTTTCATTTAATAATTGTATAATGGTCAAAAAGCAGTGAGGCTATGTTATTATTATTTCATTATATATTGTTTAATTAATGTCTTTAGGGCATTAATTAGTATGTTTGAGAAAACATTTTTCAAAGTGTCGATTATGCTTTATTATTTATTTTAAAATGATTGCACGTTTGTTTACTCTTTGCCATTACACAATGTAGGTGGGTATGTATTAAGTCTTCTGAACATTTTTTTCTGTTTAAAAGTAAGATCTAATTTAAAAGGATAATATGAACAAAAGAGGATGGAATTTTTAAAAATTGAATTTTGTGTGTTATAAAAAGATAATCTGATTAGTTTATTTTCTATTACACTATCATTACGTTATGTAATATATAGTTCTTGTATATTTATTTTTACTCTGCTCCTGCATTTAATTTAAAAGCTCAAAATTGGTATGAAAAGTTCTTTTGAACAGTAGGTGGGGGGAAAAAAAAGCATTTTGTAGTGCATGTAACAAGGAAGACATTCAGCTGCCATTAGCATCAGCCATAGTGAAGTATTAAGAACAGTTGAAGAATTTTATTTATTTATTTATCGCCATTGAACAATAAAAACTAATAATTTTCCGTTGTTGTCGTTGTGTTTTTATCTCCATCCGATATTGTTTAATTGATTTCATAAATTGACATTAAAAAATCAATCAATAATTTCTTAATTGAAAATTATTTTTTTTACCTTTGATAATATATTATTTAATTTATCATTTATGAATAAACGATTTTTTAAGTTGATATATGGTATTTCATTAAGATGTTATCCCTTTCATTTTTATACGAGTCCCATGATTCCAATGCACTCAAGCGATTATATGTTCCAACTGCCGATTCTATGCCGATATGTTCAACTGCCCTTTACTAAGGCAGGGACAGGATTATAATCTGAGTTGCGCAAATGTTCCATCTAAGCTTCTTAAATATGCACCAATGGATTTATTTACATTGACTATGTCCTAACGTATTTGGCGCAGAGCAACCGCTTCTGGCTTTGTGCCTTTAGACTTTTTACTCAATTATTACTATTAACGAGATATTGGTAAAAGAAATCTCTACGCGGGTTCATTTTGAAGAAAACTTATTTTTAAGAAACATAAGAAGAGAATTATATGTTCCAACTGCCGATATGTTCAACTGACCTTTACTAAGGCAGGGACAGGATTATAATCTGAGTTGTGCAAATGTTCCATCTAAGCTTCTTAAATATGCACCAATGGATTTATTTACATTGACTATGTCCTAACGTATTTGGCGCAGAGCAACCGCTTCTGGCTTTGTGCCTTTAGACTTTTTACTCAATTATTACTATTAACGAGATATTGGTAAAAGAAATCTCTACGCGGGTTCATTTTGAAGAAAACTTATTTTTAAGAAACATAAGAAGAGAATTATATGTTCCAACTGCCGATATGTTCAACTGACCTTTACTAAGGCAGGGACAGGATTATAATCTGAGTTGTGCAAATGTTCCATCTAAGCTTCTTAAATATGCACCAATGGATTTATTTACATTGACTATGTCCTAACGTATNCTCTTTTTTCCCCTTTTTTATTTACAACTGTCAATCGTTCATGTATAAATGTTTAATTTATAAAATACCAAAGCAAACTGATTTTTCTCTTTATCCTTGCATAATCTGAGGCAGGGCTTACTATGAGGGCTCAGTTCCTGTATTTTTTTTTCTTTATTTAGTAATTGTATATTGGTCGAAAAGCAGTGAAGTTATGTTATTATCATAATATATTGTTTAATTAATGTCTTTAGAGCATTACTTAGTAAGTATATTGTATGTTGAGAAAGCACTTTTTAAAGTGTTGATTATGCTTTATTTATTTAAAAATGTTTACACATTTGTTTACTCTTTACCATTATACAAAGTGGGTGGGTATGTATAAGATCTCCTGAACTTTTTTTTCCTTTAAAAAGTAAGATCTAATATAAAAAGATAATATGAACAGAAGTGGATGAATTTTTAAAAATTGAATTTTATGAAACAGTGCTTGTAACCTTTTACAGTGCGTGTAACAAAGAAGACATTCAGCTACCATAAGCACCAGCCATTATAAAGTATTGGGAACAGTTGCAAAATTTCATTTATTTATTGTTAAAATAAAAACTAATTATTTTTCGCTGTTGTTGATTGTGTTTTTATCTCCATCCGATATTCTTTAATTAATTTTTTTAAATTGTCATTAAAAAAATCAATCATTGATTTTTTTTAATTAAAAATCATTTTTTGACTTTCTATAATTTATTATTTATGGTATTTTATTGAGATGTTATCCCTTTCATTTTTATGCGAGTCCCTTAGGTCCCATAGAGTTATAGATCCCAATGCACTCAAGCGATCTTTTCTCTTCTTATATATGCACCAATGGATTTATTTATATTGACTATGTCCTAACGTATTTGGCGCAGAGCAGTCGCTTCTGGTTTTGTGCCTTTTAACTCTTTATTCAACCCCAACACTATTAACGAGATATTGGCAAAAGAAATCTCGACTCGGGTTCATTTTGAAGAAAACTTATTTTTAAGAAGCATAAAAAGAGAATTGTATGTTTCAACTGCCGATTCTATAAACCCTTTACTAAGGCAGGGATAGGACTATAATCTGAGTTGTGTAAATGTTCTATCTAAGCTTCTTCATCGTTATTGAAATGATCAAAGGTGATTGTGAGCCCAACTCAAAAATCCTGAAAATTTCTCCAATAAAATCATTAATTACGTGTTTCAAAAATTAACGTCTTAATAAATTTAAATCATTGATATTTTCAAAACATGAAAGTCTAAATAAATTATATGCAGCATAATTCAAATGAATAATTGTGCATAATTTTACTTTTATCTCTAATCACATTTATTATTCTACCAGAAAAAATATTTACAAATAAAAGAGATGCCAAGTATAAATTCGATTTCTAATATTTCTAAATAAAACATAAAATTTTTTTATACATAAATGTGATCAATAATTTCTTGAAACTTTTGAACCTTGGATTTCCGGAAACTTCCGGATCGCGCTTACCGAAAAATCCGGATTTTTTCCAGAGCACAATAATTTCTGAATGATGTTTTCATAATATTTTCTATGATAAGCGATCTTTTTAATTATTATGTTATTAGTCTTTCATGATTTCGTATTAATATTATTTGTCTTTTATAATGAATTTTAATTTTTTCTTCTTCTCAGAAATGAATTTTGAATTGATAAAAAATTATTTACCTTTATCAGAACAGCAGCCCAAAAGTGTAACAACATTTGGATGTGGTTCAAGGAGTTTCATCACTTCTAGCTCGGAAAGTAAATCCTTCTTTTCTTTCTCAGTTGCATTTTCTAAATATTAGAATAAACAATACGGTAAGTAATAATTTTTTTGTTTTGTTTTGAGTAATTTTTAAGCATTTAAATATGCGTTATCTGAAATATAGACAGGTTAAATTTGCAAGTTACGTATAGATGAGAAATAAATTTTATTAGCAATAATCAAAATAATTCTATGCCTACTTTATAAGCCTTTTATTACAATTGACTTTTTGTAGTTTTGAGTATTTTAGAATGTTATTTAAATTAATGTCAGCACTATTTTATTTAAAAAAAATTATGCAAGATTATTGTATAACGGTTTATAATCATAGAATATATGTGGTAATAAAAATACAAAGGCACAAAAGTTTTAAATTTAAGAATGATAATTTTTGACATCATCTTCAAGGTGACAACGGAGTGATAAGGGTTGTAAATTTTAAACAATTGTTTGAAATTTACAACAAACAATTGTTTGAAATTTTAAACAATTTTTTGAAAGCAAATTTTAAAACGAATTTAAAGAATTGTTTGAGTAGCAAAACTATTTAACTTCTTATATTGCTACAACTTTAAGCTATGAAAATATTTAAGATTAACTGACTAGATTAGATTATGCAAAATACACAGAGGTATATAATAAAAAAAGTTTGTTAATGTATTCTTTAATCGTCTGCTATTAATAGCTATCATATTTTTTTTTATCATGAGCAAAAATATTCCCAAAAATTTTTTCACTTTGTAAGTATTTTTAACAATAAAACTATCTGAGCAAAACAACTTATTTATCTCGTTTTTTTTTTTTTTTTTTTTCATTAGTTGAGTAATCAAACCATTTGAAATCACCTATTAAAACCTTAAAGTGGTTTTCAATAGATCAATAATATAATAAAATGTTCTAACAGAGAAGGTACCAGAGGCGACATTCGCAAATTAAGCGAAATTTTTCCATTACAATTAGTTTTTTTTCTTCTTCTTTGTAATTAAGTAATGTATTACTTCTTAACCAAAACTTATTTTATATTTTATTTTATAACCGGCTTTAAACAGTCGTCTCAATTCTGAGTTTACGAATATAAGTGCTTCAATTCCGTAGCCTCTTAATTTTAGACCTAACCCATAAGACAAGGAAACTTCTAAGTCAAGCATTGGGACAAACTAATCATCGTAGAAGACTATTCGATGGAACTAACCGCGTTTGCGCCACAAGGAGAGGAAAACCACGAAAACCTACCACAGTTAACTCGATGGCAAATTAGAAAGAAAATTAGAAAATCAACTAAATATTCGGTGCCTAAAAAATTCATATTAATAAATGAAATCTTTGATATTTATAATTAATAAAAATGTAACTTCGTTCTTGTTTTTTGAAATTAATTTTTTTAATTTTGAATCGTTTAAACTCAAAAATCAAAATTTCTGAAAAGAAAATCTTGAATTAACTGATTACAACCAATATTGCTCTCCGCCTGTGGAACGAATAGAACTTGACAATGTATTCGTTTCAAAAATTATAGCTTTTTATAATTTATAACTTAAAATTCATTTCGAATAAAAAAAAAATCTGTAAAATAATGGCCGTGTTGGCTCAGGGGGTAGAGCGCTCGCCTTCCAATAAGGTGAACTGGGTTCGAATCCCAGCAATGGCTGGTTGATATGAATTCCGCACTGGCCACAGTGCTGACGTAAAAATATCCACAGAGGTAGACGGGTCATAGGTTAGAGTCCCCTTGCCATCAAGCTAATCTTGGGAGGTTTTCGTGGTTTTCCTCTCCATGTAACGCGTATGTGGGTTAGTTCTATCAAAAAGTCCTCCACGAAGGCAAATTTCTCCCTGATCCAGGAGTTCCCTTGTCTTCTGGATTGGTTTCAAAATTACAAGGCAACGGAGTTGAACGTTAGTAGTCGTAAATTCAAAATTGGGTTCACTGTTTAAGGATGGTTATAAAATAAAATAAAATCTGTAAAGTAAAAATCATCACGATTGCTGAGTGACAATTCTGGTACCGTTGCAAGATTAACACAGAAACGATTAGGTTATATATTTAGAAAACATTTCTATAGTTTAATCAAACTATTTATACATTCTGAATAATAGGTAAAAAATAAATTCCCAATGAAAAACTTTTAACTAATTTAGACCTTTGAGTGTTTTTACGGCCACTGTTGCTGTTTCTTGACGTGGACCAATGTCCTGGGCAAGACATTTCCAAACTTGGCCGAAACAACCTTCTCCGAGGATTCCTATAAACTGCAAACGGTGCCTCTGAAATTCCCATTTGTCTAAGTCACTTCCCACCTAAACAAATAAAAATACACAGTTAAAAGAAGTCAACATTTATTTACGGAAATTTAAGGGCGCATTTTATTTTTTTAAATTTTTAATTCATTAAAAATTTAAACATGCAATCAATATTTTCTGTACAAATAAAAAATTTCATTTCACTAAATTTTAAATAAGAAAATAAATTATGGGAATTCCAAAAATTGACCGATGATTAAAAAAATCTATTTAAAAAGAAGAAGAAAGAACGCATGGAGATAGCATGTTTGTGGCGTTCTGTTTAATAGACTGGATTATTTATTCTCACTAGGTTTTAAAATTAATTATAAATTTCGCTAAAAGATGGCGTTGCTGGCAGGAAAAACTACAAAAGAATGTATTTTGCTGCATTCCACTCGTGATATTAGTTAATTTTTTCTACAGACTCAGAGTTCGATTTATCATAACACTTGAGAGACCTGGGCCTGGATCCCTGTACGCCTGGGGGCCTCCTTAATTGTCACAATTTTTTTTCTTCTTCTGTTTTTCCTTAAGAATTATCTGTTAGAATAACGAACAAACAAAAATTGAAAAAAATGTAAACACAACTTTACAATAATATAATAATTTACTTATGTTATAAAAAGTTCAAAAGCATTTTGCAAATGAACAATATGTAAACTTGTGGACCAATGGAACCCCAATCAGTTTTGTTCCTAGGGCACCCTGATTTTTAAATCAGGCGCTCTGCATAGACAGCACCAAATGGTGGTTACTTTGAAAAGATTAACCGACGATTCAATCCATGAATTTGTGATGGAATTATTCTCGATGGGTAATATTGATTGCTTGATTAATATTGAAGATTAAACGTGAATCGAAACGGTTCGATAAAAGTAGAATAATATTATTAGATATTGTTTCAATGTATGCTTACTCTGTGCAAGACGTTTCCTGTTGAGTTCGATGATCCGATAAAAGGTGGCGTAGCAGGTCGCAAGAGTGCAGCAGGAGAGTAACTGAATGCGACCGTTTCAGAGAGACTCCCTTCTCTACGTGCTACACCCGATGAGGCTTTCTTTAACTGAAAAATAACGAGAAAAATAATATTAAAGAGTAGTTTCAGAATTTCAAGGAAAGCTAGTAAAAACATGTTTAAACAGTACCTTAACAATCATAATAAATAATATTAGTCAGAGAAACACTAGGAAAAAGTCAGTAATTTTAAATTTTTTACGCAAATATCACTTTTCATATATTTAATATACATTTTCAGTAACATGGCCTTATCCTAGCGAATACTGTAATATACATTTTCAGTGACAGATTTAAATAATCAACAGTGAAGTAAAAAAAAAAAAATTCATTTTAGGGATTACGAATTAATATTTGAGTGGAAAAGAACAAAGTTACTTTTTAAGCTATGACCAATATCCTTTGAGGTTAAAGACGAACAAATGAGGGATTGAAATAATCTTAATGTTAATTTTTTGAGGGTGAAGTTAAAAGACGGTCAAAGGCGTCTTTCACCACGACGAGGCTACTGTTTGACCATAACGTGAAAAATTGATATTGTCGCTAACTTATATTTTGACTCCTTCAAAAAGCAGGAAATAATCAAGAAAGGTTTCGAATTTTTAAAAAAAAACAAAAAAAAAACTGTAATCATACCTGGAAAATAACCAATCTTGGAATTGTCAGCAACAGGTATGAGTTATTGTTTTAAATAATTTAAACATATTTAAATTAAAACAATTATTTATTGAAAAAATTCCACTTTTTAGTGAAACATTTCTAAGCTTCCATCCTTATTCAAAGATATTTCTTTGCTCTCAGAATCTAATATTTGATATTTCAAAAAAAAAAAAAAAAAAAAAAAAAAAAAAAAAAAAAAAAAAAAAAAAANAAAAAAAAAAAAAAAAAAAAAAAATCTAAGTTTCCGGATGAAAAATTGCACGGTATAGATAAAACATACTCTGGATTTTACATGGAAATTTATCTGAAATACCAGGAAAAGTCAGCGAATTTTTTTTCCCCTTCTGATATTTAGTGGGAACCATGTAAATATCTCTCGTCCGTTCGCTAGATATATCCTATTATCATTAGTGATCACTGAATAAGCGTAATAAAAGGTAATAAATAATCGTAATAAATTCAGCCTAATGCATATGCGTGAGTGATGCAATCATCTGTAATTTTAAGTTAACGCTTTAAAACTAATTAGTGAGTCATCGCATACGAAAAGATTAACCGCATTCTCTCGACTTCCGAAGAAGAAGAAACAAAAAAATGAATATTTACGTCGAATAGAGTTCACTGATCCGAAAATAAATTCGTTGAACGCGAAACAATTTTAGATCATATCGATTCGTAAAAAAAAATAACTAAAAAAAAAGTTTTGGTATTATAACCATATCTTAAAATAAATATTATTTTTATTTCTTTTAAATTTTTGATTATTTACCTTTAGTATTTCAAATAAAGGAAATTAATTTGAAAGTCAATGTCCCCCCTTGCCTCCTCAAACTTTTCTTGCGCAAAACAAATTTGCATTTATGTGTTTGCTTCCAATTAGTTCGATTTAAAGAGTTCCGCATTTAAAGTTTATCTTACATTTCTCATGTTTATATTCTTGTAAGTTTTTCGTAAGTTATAAATCTAAATATTTGCCCTCATGAATAATTAAAATTTTTATCTATCACTCGTCAAGCATATGCAAAACGAAAAATTTGTTCGAAAGATTTAAATATTTTAAAATGGCATTTAAATATCTTTGATGAAACTTAGTGATGTTTTTTATAACAATCGTCTTTCAACTTCGGTGTTTCCTTTGGCAATAAACAAGTTTTGAAATTATGAGTCCTGTCTTCTGAAGTTGTGATTCGTTTATTAGTTGTTTCAGATAGTTTTTATTTTGTTAGTTCTTAAGATGTTTCATGGGTAACTTTCCATTTTTGACAATTTTTAATAGTTTACTGACAGTTTTAGCAAGGAGTGCGAAAATAAGTACTTTTGCCACTTCCTACTTTATTTTCTTATAAAGGCAAAAAAACAGCTGAGGCCTACACAAAGATATGCGAAGTTAATGGTGTTGTGTGTTTAACAGAATCCACGTGTCAGAATTAAACCCAATCTGTTTGAATCATTACAATAATCTGTTTGATCATTACAGAAAACTGAGACGAGGTGAAAAGAGGTTATTCGAAGCATCTTTAACTTTCCTTCGGCAATTAAACTGGTTTTAGATGAAAAACTTTTCGCTTGCTTCAGAATCGGGTTTTGTTAGGAAAATATTTACGTTTTGACTTTAAGCTCGGTTAAAAGTTAATAACGCCACAAAAATGAAAATTTGACTAGTTGTCCATTGCTACTAAAGTTTATGGTTAACAACGCTACAAAAATGAAAATTTGACTAGTTATCCATTGCTAAAGTTTATGGTTAACAACACCACAAAAAGGAAAATTTGTCTAGTTGTCCATTGCTACTAAAGTTTATGGTTAACAACGCCACAAAAATAAAAATTTGACTAGTTGTCTATTGCTACTAAAGTTTATGGTTAACAACGCCACAAAAATGAAAATTTGACTAGTTGTCCATTGCTACTAAAGTTTATGGTTGGCGCAATAAATAATGGTAAAACATTTATTCTATTAAAACTGGCATACTTACCGCGACTAGTTTTTCGTTTCTGTTGCAGTGTCTCCACAGGAGGTACATGCTGAGCAAGACCAGCGGCCCAATTAATGTTACGGCCACGATGGGCAGCACGGTGGTTGCGATGAAGGCCCCCTGGCTGCCCTGCGCCTGTTCGCTGCCCTCTCCCGGAGGAACATCGCGAACTGGGGGCTGATCTCCAAGGGAGGGGATGAAGGAGGGGGAAGAGGAGGTGGTGGCTGAGGTGTTCCCTTCTTTCGCAGGGGGGTGGCGAAAAGGTCTGGAAGCTGAGGAGGAGGGGTGGGCGGGGTGAGGGGCGCTGGGTACAAAGGGAGGAAAGGGCCGTAAACGTGGGCGCGTTGTGCTGAAGGGCAGTTTCAGAGGTAGGTCAGAAGTGGCTCCGTGGGCTTCCAGTACTCGGATGTATACCTCAATTTTGGCCTGAAAAAGATATTTGAAAATATATTTAGAATAATAAATTTGAATACATAAAAAGATATTTGTGAGGAAGAATAATAAAATATCGATAATACATTTGAATAGGTATTAAAACTTAATATAGCATATANGTTTACTCAACATTATATACAGAATAATGTTGAGTAAACGTATAGGATCACATTGTGTACCCCCTAATAAGCCTATAATTGCTTCCTCTGGTGGGGTGCACAAGTAACCGGTAATATAATACGTGGTCCAATTTGTGTATTATGGGTCAATATTAAACGAAGATATAGGCCCATGTTGTAAAATATCTAATATTGTCTGCGAATTTTCTCAATTTAACAATGTATTATTTAAAAATACTTAGTTAACTTTTTTTTCTGTAAGAAAATGGACATATTCTAACTTATTTAAAAAATAGAAAGTGTTTGCAATTGAACTGCAATTTTTTTCTGCGCTCAAAAACATAGAAAACATTCTTCTTCTTAGTGTTAAGAACGAGACAAATTCTGCGTTAACACTTCGCTATAAAACGTACATGAAAAAATTACATTTTAATTTTTATGCAATTTGCAAACTATTACTATAAAGCATTTTATACCAAATGATAATAAATATCAAATGATTATTTACCAAATGATGGTAAATAATAAATTAAATAGTTATTTTATAATAATGACATATTATACTTTGATCTACACAAATGTAGGTTAACTTACTAAAAAAAATAGAGTCTGGTAAATTTCTGACACGGAACTATGTTATCATTAAATTCAATATAGCACTAGCAGTCATGCAACACAAAAAGAAGAAAAACCCGAATATAATTATGATGTCTGATTGATTACTTAAAATCAAAGTTTGTGATTTTACACATAAATGTAGATCAATGGGAGGATCATCATTATTTTTAATGATTTAAAAAATTTCTATTTTCTTTTCATCAGCGAATGTTTTAGAAGAATTCATGTTTTTTTTTATTTATCTATAATTCATATGGAATAGATCAAGAATCTGTAATTCATATATTTTATTTATCTAGAACAGTGGTTCCCAAATGGTGTTCCACAAAACTTTAGGGTTTCCTGGAAGATTCAAAGGGTTTCCGCAAGTTAGTACTTTTTATAACCAGTGCTGAGTTTTGAAACCTCTGATTATATTTAGATCCAACCTATAATTCATTATTTATTTAATCTTACTGTAGACTTTATAAAATTATTTCAAGTAAAATATCAATGGGATTAAAATGGCATTTTTTAAAAGAGAATATGATACCTCTAATAACAATGCTTTGAAAAAATTATGAGAAAAAAAAGTATTTATTAAAATATTTCATTAGTATCTCCTATCGCACTTTTCAAATCAAAATAACTAAACAGTTTAATAAAAAAAAATATATTTCCGTAATAATTTTTTTCATCAGGTATTTATTTTAAGTTTTCATTTCGAAATAAACCATAATTTTGCTTATTTTAATCATTTTCAGCGGTTGTATATACACCAAAAACAAATTCATTACTAGACTAAATATAGCACATAAAACGTAATTTAAGATTATTGATGATAAAACGACGAAAAATCTTCATTCTTCTGCTTAAATATTTAAATATAGTCTTTTGAAGGTTATAACGTTCGCAATTGCCTTAAATTTTATTTATAAAGTTGGGGTTCCACCGAAAGAAGGCTGATTTTTCAGAGTTCCGTAGCTGGAAAAAAAATGGGAACCGCTGATCTAGACCTAGAATTTATATTGAATAGATCTAGAATCTAGCATACATATCTGTTATTTACCTAAGTGTATGTAATTCTTCAGATATTCATGCTGTTTTAAAAGGGTTTGGAAAATATAATTCATAACCAAATATTTATCAAGTATCTTCACTTTTTCAACAGTTAGTTTGGTTTGGTGGGATTTCCGACAAGAATAGACTTATTAGTGTCACATTAAACCCTGGGATTCTTCCAACTTTTCGCGAATAAAAACACAAGTTTTTGTATCTAACGCATTCTTATGAGAACTAATTATTTTAACTCCAGAAATCTGAAATAGAGTTCCGTAAGCATTGAAATCATTAATCATCCACCAAAATAGGTGAACTTAAGAACTTTTACTCAAATTATTCTTAAAAGAAAAATAGCACGAAATGCTGAGAAATATTGCCGCCAAAATCAGCATGCAGTGAATCACTCTGAGTGAATATTCTTTAAAAATTTGTTTAGTATAATTAAAGAAAATTACCAAAAATTATAAAACGCAGTTCTTAGAATAATTCTTAGAATCTAAGAATCTTCTTAGAATCTAAGAATCTTCTTAGAATAATTCTTAGAATCTAAGAATCTTCTCAGAATAATTGAAAATCTTAGAATCTTCATAGAATAATTAAATCTTCTTCTTCTAAGAATCTTCTTAGAATAATTGAAAAATACTAGTATTGCTGGATAACGTGTTGAAGTGTCTTTTGTCCCGATTTGCCTCTCTTGGTTACTGCGGTTTTTCTAGTTTTGTTTCTTCACCCTCATTTATTTTTATTTTTTTTTGTAGGCAACCTTACATTTTTGTTTCAAACCTTTGTTTTGTTCCTTCACATTTAGCAAGCTTTGAGAATGTGCGCCTATTATTTTTGGGCGTTCGAAACATGTCGACCTTTGCAACCTTCATAAGTTTTTGAACCAAATGAAGTTTTAATAATATCAAGTATATCTTTTCGCTCCAGTTTCTTGGGATTATTCATTTAACAGCTATTACTAGTTTTATGTTTATGATATAACTTTGGACCAATGAAGACGATTTTCTATCAGTTAAGTTTTACTTTTATCACAGTACCTGAAAAAAAAATTAGGTCTTTTCTTTTCTGTTTTGCTTATAATGTCCCTTTTTTATTGAATGTTCTTTTTGGTTGTTATTAAATTAAGCCACAGATTTATTGGGACAAAAATTCTATATTTCACGAGAATAAGCTTTTTAAATGATCATCATCGCCATTTTTACATATATACAGTTATATATAAATAAATAATTAAGGATATCTTACCATTTGATGCCCATCATTTGCAGTTACGTATAAATAAAAATCATTTCCGCCCTAGAAAAAAAAATATCGAGATGTTACTTTATGATTGTTATTTAGCACAGAATATTTTATGGAAGACATGGTAATAAAACAGCAATTATTAAATAAATCATCAAAATTGCAAAAAATATGTGAATTTTAGCCAAATTAAGTAGCAATCTGAAGAACACATTTGATAATAATTATTAAATATCATTAATAAATTCTTGGCGTCAATTTTGGTACTTTATTATTATTATTTTAAATATCTTAGAAATACAATTACAGATATAAAGAAATTTTTATATTGATGCCAACTCACGGTGAGGATTACAGTTTGAAATTACGCAACAGTGTAAAAAATTCCAGATTTAATTACGGTGAAAAGTACCGGTACCCAGTGTGCCGGTAATTTGTACCGTGATATCCGTTTTTACCGAAACATGTTACGAAACAAAAAATTGGATATACCGTAGCTTTTACAATGATAATTACCGTAAAATCACTTTAATTAAATAAATATTACTGTAAAAATTACTGATTTTACGGTAAAATGGATCTTCCGGATGATCCACCTAAAGTGCCCGTACTTCATACCATAATTAGACTCGTACTTTCGTAAAGTGTAGTTTTCAAAAGTTGAGCATAATTCGTAGAAGTATAAAATTATGCTCAACTTTTGAACACTAGTATATAACATTGCATTTGAGGTAATTAATTACGATTGCGTTACTGCACTAGACCTGAAAGTTATTGAGCAATTATTTACAGGTAATAAGATATTATTAGTAAATTATTAATAAATTATAATTAATAAAATAATTAATTAATAAATTATAATTAATGAAATAATTAATTAATGAATTGTAATTAATATAATTAATAAAAAATATATTAATAATTATTAATTAATAAAACCGAAAAACATATTTGATTTGATTTAAATAGCCAAATGGGCATTTTATTGGGTAAAAATCTGGAACAGAATAAAATTACGAAATAAATTGTACTTCCATTAGATGAATAAATGCCATTAGATGAATAAATTGCGAATAAATTGTAATTGTAAAAATAAATTTTTATTCAAATATTTTTTTTAAAACTTCTAATGCTTATAATTTATTTTTGAAAACGTTTATATACTGTGAACTTATTTCAAGTAAAGTTTTTATTCCGTTTTGTTTAAAAAGTTTTCATTTTAAATTCTAGTGAGTTGCATCATATCGGATGTTATTAATAACTCAGTCTAATTTTCTGAGTAAACTATTACTATGCTATCACTATTGCGTAACTATTGAAAATTACATAATAAAAATATTACTATTGTGTAACTTTTAAATACAAATTTTTTTATTGGATGAAAACTTTTTTTTTGATGATTACACTGATTTAAGTTCCAAAACATTTCCTCGAAGAAGGCAATAACTAATGATTTGAATGACCAACAGAAAAATTGTTCTCCAATGATTGTCAGTTTAGAACAATAATTTAGATTATGCAAAGCATTTTGAAACACTTAAAAGACGAAAGGGACAAAAACTCATGCAAAACCCAGCAATATTTACAGATCTTTATATTTGTTTGCATTATTGTTAAATAAGGGAAAGTAAGTAATAAAAAGTCATAAAAATCTATCCAAACTCTGCTGAAGACAGTTTGGAATTTTAAAAGTCGTATTATTTATTGTCAGTTCAAGTTAGATAACATTATTAAAAACAGAACAGAACAGAACCATATGAATAAAAATAATAAAAGCTGATAAAATAATTCAGTTTATACAATGAACCTTGGATTTATATAGTGGACATTCGATTGTAGTAAATTTTTCCAGTGGTCTCTTCTGAACTCCCATTTAACTAATGTTATTTTATATGCGTATAGTATTGAACGGCTGAAGAATTGGTAGTTCATTTATAATGGGCATTATTTCTTCAGTTTTTTTTTATTTCTTTAACTTTAAGTTTGCAGGAATTAAAATTGCAAATGGCGGCACTTCTTTACATAATGTCAATTTTTACTCTTGCATACCCTGAGAAATCGGTATTAAAGGATTTTTTTTTCTACATAGAAAATGTGGACAAGAATGCACTGGATTAATTTAATAATTGTTGATTAAAAAATTGGTAAACTCCACTTAATATCGAATTGTAGTTCTTTGAAAAGTACTAATTCTTCCATAGAATGTAAAAATTAATGGATTACTTTTTCTTTTTAATATTTGATTTATTATATATTTAATCATTGAATAATTTATAAGCAAATTATTTAACAGCAATGCTATTGCCATACGCTAAAAGGTAAATTTTCAAAAAAATTAAGTATACTACTGTTTATAGTGGACTTAATATTAGATCCGCAGACTGTTCACCATAACGGGGTTCGACTGTACTAATGAGATACAAAAAATTACAAAAATATTTTATTTAGAACTGTGGGCAGCGAAACATATATATAATGATTAATGGCTTGGCCGACGACTCCCCGTGTAGTAAAATGGTGACTGATGCACGTTAAAACTGTCGAGTCGCAAAGTCCTCCATGTTACCATAACAAATCAATACCGCTGGGGGTACTGGATTAGAGATCGATCGTTCTCAGATCCAGGTCAAAAATTACGATCTGTGGATGAATGACTAGATGTATGAATGGGTCCGCCCTCTAAACGGGTGTGACGTATGTGTGGCTGAAGACGAACTCTCGGCCATAGATGGCGCCTCTGAAAATCAAGAAACTTGCCTTAAATTTACTCGGTTTCACCAAGCAGGCTTGCTAGTGTGGCAAGTGGCATTAGAAACAACAATAACAAATAAAATAAAAATTTGAAGATTAAATTTATATCTCCGGAAATGTTTTGGCAACCCATTTTAGAGATTCTATGATCCAAATTTGAATGTTGAACCATATGCCCGTTTTAGACTATGTGATGGTAGAGGTTTGCTTAAAAATAGTTTTAAAATTTCATTTATACCTAAAATATCACTTATTTTACTTTAGAAAAAAAAATCTAAATACTTTGAACAAACATATCTTTGCTTTGAAGCAATTAAAAAAAATTTCTAATTAGGTCTAAATTGAGACATGCTATACAGAAAATATCAGGTAGATAAGAATCTCTCCCTGTTTCTTTTTAGAGAAATTTGAATGAAGTTTATCGCGTTACCATCAGAAACTATGATGAGAGTCGATAGATTTCTTCTACTGATAATTATATTCAAATTCTTTTTTAGAGATTATATTACTATACAACGGCTGGCAATGAATTTAAAACAAAAAAAAAGTAAAGATTCGGGAATATTTTACTGATTTACATACACAAAAGGTAGAGAAAGAAAGAAAAAAAAACTGTCTTGGAATATACATTTCAAAGAAAGAGCAATAATTTCGGTTTTTTAGCGTCCTTGAAACAGAAGCTACCAATTTTTCACAGTAGCGCGAATCCCTCAATGGATGAGACATTGCATTAACGGAACAAAATTAATCACTTGTCAGGCGTCTTTTTGAAGACAAATAAAAAGATACAAATTGATGCGACGCTTCTCTGGAGGCAATAATCGAAGTCTGACCTTCACCGGCCATCATGAATCAAGGACAGTCAGCTTCGTTGTCCTGTTTCATACTCTCAAATCTTTCTTTTCGCAGGACTATTAAAAACGATCCGCTCGATGAATTTTATTTTTTTATTTTTTTTTATTTTCGGAAGGGGGGGGGGTAATTACACCAACATAAGAAGAATACGCATTTCGGGTTTTTTGGTCAGGAGCGAGTGGACAGGGCTTTCTTTCCTATAAAAAATAGTGATAATCAAATCATAGCAAATTCAAACGTTATGTCCGAACGGAGAAGAAGAATGAGGAAACAATATAACAATCCCCACAGCCACAAATATCCTCCCCCCCCCAGAACAACTTTGAGATATCTCATATACAAAAAAACTGGATATTTTCAAATCCAACAGCTCTGGCGTAGTTTTGGGGAACAAAGACAAAACCCCCTCCGAAATTATACAATTAGGGGAGAGTGGGGTCAATTGTAACAGGGTACGATTGTAACAGAGCAAAAATTTCGAGCGTCGGGTTCTAGATTTGGTTCCTAGGTGGCGCACAAGGTGTATTTAATAAATCTGCATGTACACCCCTGCTGGCAACCATTTTTATGTACTTTTGAAAGAGTTACATCACAAAAGATATTTTCACGCTACGTAAGTACTTTTTTGGTATTAGAATAATATATTGTAACAAAGTAATTTTGTTTAAACAAATAAAATTTATTAACCGAATATGTAAGTGGACACCTTAATTAATATTT